GTGTTCCGTCTCAATATCGCACATCCTACCCAAGTTCATTCCTTTCGGAATCATTTGAGGTTGAAGTCCGCCGTTAGTTATCCAAATTTTTCCAATTCCTTCTTCAAATTCAATCAACGAAGAAGGGAATATCACGTCTTTTCGAATGAATAGTTCTTTAGAACAGGTAACCTCCATGTTAACAATTCCTACGAGAGATCTATTGACGACGCTTATCCTCTGCGACGATCTCCCGGGGATAACGAAGTCTTGGATAGCGTACACTCCGTCATCTCTACCCTCGGCGTCTAGGTCTGGTAGGTCGTCCAGTTGTAGTTCGCCCAGACCGCAGTCGATAACCGCGTTGGTCGCCTTGAAGAAATCCCAGCCTAGAATCACATCGTGACTGCAATTTTCCAAAACGACGAATTCAAAGTTTTCCGGATGTCCATTTACTTCCAACTTCAAAGTGCAGCGTCCTTTGGATTTGACCACCTTATCGTCAGCAACTTTCAATACAACGTCGGTTTCGGCAAACATCGTCTTTTTCAGTTCTACTCTGAACCGCTCGGATATAACAGAATAGGAGGCTCCGGAATCCACCAGAGCCCGTATTGTGTCGCCTTCAACTTTAATGTCAATGTAGTTGTTCGTCATTTTCACGACTGTCGACAGGGGAGGAATTATAGGTTGTGCAGCGGCCTCACCTCCATTTGAGGGCGCGGTTCTTAGTTTTCCGATTGTAAACGCCGAGGAGACTGGCTGGCTCGTCTTGTAGCACTGCGACCAGGGGAACTTCCGCGTCTAGGAGAAGGGGAGGGGCTGCGATAACGTCTGGTGCTGACCCTTTGATCAGCGTCGTTTGAGTTATTGTTGCGTCCGGAGTTCGTCATTGTCCTGGCCCGATCTTGGTACATTTCGTCTCTTCTCTCATCAAGTAACCTCCTCCTGTCGCGGCAATAGCGGACAACGTGGCCGGGCCGTCCACAGTGGAAGCATACGGGCGTGCCGTCTGGGGTCCTCCACTCATTAGTGTCCCGTACTTCGACTCTTGAGCCACTTGCTTCGACCTTAGGTGCATACCAGGTGTTCTTTCTATAGTTCCGTGGTGCTGACCTCGCCGCCGATTCCATTGGGAAGGTATTTATCCCCGACATGGGAGCGAGGACTTTGTCGACTTCCTCCTTCACTATTTCCTCAAGGGAGGAGATTCTTGGTTCTTCCCGTGGCGGTGCTAGGGCCCGCTGCACTTCTTCTCTAACGATCTGTCTTATCAGAGACTGTAGATCCGTCACGTCCCCCAGGTCACCGAGCGAGGTAACATTGGGCAAGCGCTCGAATTTTGAGGCTGTCACTCGTCGTCCTTGGAGCGCCACAACGCGACGACACTCTGCGATAAACTGATCCGTCGTCGCTATGTCTCTCGGCAGAAGATACCGGTAGACTTCCTCTGCTACTCCCTTCATCAGATGAGATAGTCTCTCTTCTTCTGGCATCTGTGCATCTACTTCCCTGCAGAGTCGCAAAACATCTTGGATATAAAATTCAGTGGTTTCGCCCCTCGTTTGAGCTCGCACCTTTAGCTTTTGCTCGGCTTGACGCCGCAGGTTATCTTTCTTCCCAAATACGGATCCTAGTTGGTCTTTAAATATCTCCCACGATGGGATATTTTCCTCATTATTTTCGTACCACCGTTGAGCGGTACCGTGTAGATAAAAGTACACGTTAGCCAGACTGAGCGAATCGTCCCAATGGTTATGTCTTGCCACTCTCTCATAACCTTTCAGCCAGGCTTGGGGGTCTTCGCTGATCTCACCAGAGAACATGGAAGGGTTCCGCACCACATTCTGACAAAAGAGTGGACTCACCTGAGTGGTCGCCTCGCTTCTGTTGTTCATCGTCGCTGTGTTGTCGGGGGTAAGTCCTTGTAATCTTCTGCTTCTTCTAATAGAGCGTTCTTCTTCTTTAGGTACCCAGCTGATCTCCGCCACTTTGTAGAGTAGAATAAATTAAATAGAATTCGATGTTGAGATTAAATATAGTTTATTTAAAGTAAGGTTACAAAGAAGAGAATAACGGGAGCTCGCGCAGTCTGTTTACAAAATGGCAGCCAAGAACCACCTCATCCGCGCATGCTCCCACCGTTCCACTGCGCGCGCACCTCCCGGGCCTCCCCCCGCGCATCCTTTCCAAATGGCGATGCATTCATATTTCACAGCTCTCCCTCGGGTCGATGCTCTTTATAGGAGGAGGCTATGTGACGAAGAAATAATTTATTAATTAAATTATTCAATGAAACTATTCAACAGATTATATAAATATATATTAATCTTTTATGTAAAATAATTATCAAAATATCTCTTGGCTTGCTTGCTCAAGATTCTCTAGCTGTAAATAGTTTTTGCTGACTTGTTAATAATTGCCGACTTGTCGCCGTGACGTCATCAATAAATACTTTTACATCTTAGGATATTTCAAGGCTTGATTTCTACGCTACAATATAAAAAGCCAACAATGAAGAATGAATGTAAGATAAAAAGCCAACAATGAAGAGTAAATGTAATATAAAAAGCCAACAATGAAGAATAAATGTAAGATAAAAAGCCAACAATGAAGAGTAAATATAATATAAAAAACCAACAATGTAGAGTGAATGCAAGATAAAAAGCCAACAATGAAGAGTAAATGTAATATAAAAGCCAACAATGAAGAATGAATGTAAGATAAAATGCCAACAATGAAGAGTGAATGTAATATAAAAAGCCAACAATGAAGAGTGAATGTAAGATAAAAAGCCAACAATGAATAGTAAATGTAATATAAAAAGCCAACAATGAAGAATGAATGTAAGATAAAAAGCCAACAATGAAGAGTAAATCTCTATATATAAAATTGAATGTCTGTCTGTCTGTACTCTATAGATTCAAAAACCATACATCCAATCGCCGTGAAATTTTGGGATATTATTAGGTATATCACCGGGAAGGTTTTTGAAAAATAATTTCATGAATATCTTGAATATCCTTAGAGTTATTTGCAGATTTGTAGATTTAACTCGCAAGCAGCGCCCCCATTGTGACGATGATAACAAGTTTTCTTATCACTAAGTTTGTTATCTTAAATATTATTTATCAAAAGTAAGATTATCTCAGGATGACACGGCAATTTATTTGAGACAAGAATAATGATACAATTCCAAGGCGAAGATACTATTCCTTTAACTTCCAATTACCGAGGGAACCAATTAATATTGATTTTATTCAACTTATCGAGTATTTTTCAAGGGACCAGGAAAAAATATTCACTAGATAAAACTATGATTTTCTAATGTAGAAAATTAGGAAAGACAAAATTCAGGATGACACGGCACACAGGGACCGGGAAAAATGTTCACTTTATCGAGAGCTTCAAATTTACGAGTTTCAAATTATCAAAATATATCTTTTTTTTTTAAATAAGTTTTCAGAGAATTGTTTTAACAAATGTTCGCTAGACAAACCTTTACTTGGATAAAACCCCGGGCGAAGCCGAGTACGTTTTATAAGTTTATAGAGAATTGTTTTAACAAATGTTCGTTAGACAAACATTCACTCGGGTAAAACCCGGGCGAAGCCGGGCACATCCGCTAGTATATATATATATATATCTGTGTGCTTGTTCCTTAAATAAATTGCCGCGTCAGCCTGAAGCTTGTCTTTCCGAATTTTCTAAGTTACATTTGATGGAGATTCAGGGTAGATTAGGGAAGACAAACTGAAAACTGAAAAGCTCTTAAGGCCATGGATGCTGTGATCTACATTTTCAGAGACTGGCTTCAGGATTCCACCACTGTATTAGAGCCAATACTTTCTTAAGAGATGATGTTCCTATAATATGACTACAAAGCCTCTTTTCACGCCGCAAGGAAAAGAAAAAACACAAAGCAACTAGGAACAGAGTTCCAAGACTCAGAGGGGATCCTTGGTAGAAGCATGTCAGATCCGAGTCAGAATCTACAATATTTGCAAGCTGTGGGTCACAGCTCCAATAGGAAAGGAGCCATGTAGCAAATTATTTTTTATTTTATTGATATACTATTAAATTTTATGTATATGTGAGATTCGAATTGATCCTGTCGACTCTATGTGAGAATCGGTTGTGATCCTGTCGACTCTCTGTCGGATCCTGTTTTTACCTGTGTAAGATCCTGTCGACTCTTTGTCGGATCCTGTTGTTACCTGTGTAAGATCCTGTTGACTCCTGTCAACTTACTGTGGGATTGGTGACTTGTGGTGAATTGTGGAGGTTGGTGATTGATGGCGCAGTCTTGGTCGAATGGTGGGTTTCCACAGGGGAAATAACGAGCACACCTGGATAGGATAAACCTGGACTTCACGAAAGGAGAGAGAGTTGTGATTGGAGGAGGTACCTTGCCTTTCAAATGATCGAAGAGGATTTTTTACCTTGGTTGGAGCCTAAGTTGAGCACACCTTGCTTCTAGCCCGGTCACCTACCTTCTGATTACTTCTTGTCCGAGATTATTGTAAAGACGTTGCTGTATCACCTCATAAGCATAAATAAATAATAATCGTCATTAACTATCTCGGCTTCTCATTGGTCGAGATCGTTCTACGTCCCTGCTTCTGGTTTGCTATTAGTTGGTCATGCTTAACTGTGATTGGTTGTTGATTTGTCATGCTTAATTGTGATTGGCTTAGTACCTCCATTGTCGCCATGATTGCAATCTTCCAGGAAGAAGAAGGTCTTTGAACTTTAGTTTTATGGTTCCTGGGCAGCGACCTTTACTTCCTGGATGATGCAATCCTGTTAATTGATGTTCCCTTTTTCGCGAAGCCTAACTTTTATTAAATATTTTGACGATACATTGCATAGGTTGTGGTGGGGTTACATATTTCTATATATAAATAATCACATATATATATTTTATAACTCAGCGTAAAGTTCCCTTATTGTCTGATAAGGCACAATTTGGATTTTAGATCATAAACACAAGGTAATAAGACCAAATCCAAATAAATAAATAGTGTGTCCCACGTGGTCTAGGATACCTGGCTCTCACCCAGGAGGCCCTGGTTCGATTCCCGGCGTGGGAACCACACACTATTTATTTATTTGGATTTGGTCTTATTACCTTGTGTTTTTCCCTTATTGTTTCTATTTTATTTTATCAATTTTAGTGTGTGCTTGTGCCTTGAATAAATTGCTGCGTCATCCTGAAGTTTGTCTTTCCTGATTTTCTATGTTACAATATTTTTGATCTAAAATCACCGCGAAAACTCTGCAGTCGATATTGCCAAGTTTTCTCTAGAGGATCAAAGATTTCTATATTATCTAGGTGCTAAAGGTTCTTTGTACACAAGGAACGCCTTCTTTTCAATAATTCTTGCTTAATCCGCAATATCAGGAACATGTAATATCGAAAAATTGATTCAAAAGGCGAATCGTGTCCCATGAAACAGAGAACCTCAATCGCAGGGTTTCGCACTTTGTATAAGGATATGTTGGCAAGGAGAAAAGACTCGCACAATTTTTTCAGTTAATATGTCATAATTTGTACATAACTGGATGTAACCCCACCACAATATGTATGCAATGTATGTTTTAAAAGATTTTAATAAAAACAAGGCTTAGAAATCTGGGAGAAAGATTTTAGAGAAAGGCCATCAAAGAGGAAGCAATCATTAGCAGGTTTTATTATCCCGGAACTCATAAAACTGGGTTCAAGAACCTAGTATTTCCTGGATCAGGTCAGAACAAGTCCAGAAACAAAAGGATAGCAAAGGCCCAATCAGAGAATAGGAAAATTAGCAAGGAACCAATAGAAAGCTTACACGTCTAAACCACCAGCCAATCAGAACCCTGAATAGTTTTCTTGTTAAATCGCGTACCGAGTTTAGTCAGTTGGGACCTGGACAACATCGAGTTAACACCTGGACCGACCAAGGAACAAGTGCCGAGCCCACCCCATCTTCTCAACCCCTCAGATAAGTCAATCCTCAATCATGTGAACAGTTATAGCCAATAGCCAACTCAAACCAATAGCTTCAACTCCTTTTCTCCCAGATTGCTAGCCTTTTCCAACCCAAATCCTGTGTTTTTTCGTTATTTTCCCCTGTTTGAATACCTTACAATCTCAGCCAACACGACTGCGCCCACCACAAACAATCAACTCAGCCAACTTCAAAAGGTAATTCGTCTCAATCCCACAGTGAGTCGACAGGATAAAATGGAAAGTGACCAGGAAACAGAAGTCAAAAATAGTGGTGACCTATCGAGAGAGGAGGAGGCGACCGGAGGGAGGGAAACTGGCCCCCCTGGCGGACATCATCGTACAGTTAGCGGCGGTGCTGGCCCAGGCGAGGGCGTCCGACCGACCAGAGGCGGCACTTCCACCCTTCGATGGATCCTACAGCGCCCGCCAATTCTTCCAGGCCTACGACCGAAAGATGGATGACGCCCACGTAGAAAACCCCGACAAGCTACTCCGGCTGCCAAACTACCTGACGCGCCAACCCCTGGAACTCTTCAGGAAACTCCGGTTGGCCGCCCAGAGCTATTTCCAGGTGAGGCAAATCCTCATGGATCTCTATCCGGAATCCAGCGAAGCATCCTTCGCGAAGTACTTCGCCATGAAGCTTGCCTGACAAGCAGACCTGGAGACGTACTACCGGGAGAAAACCGCCATGGGTTTACAACTGGGGCTCCCCACAGGAGGTGATCTTCGAGACGCTGACGGAAGGGTTGCCGTTCTCCGACCAGCGCCTGGTCCGCGTGGTACCTCCTGAGAGCCTAGGAGAGTGGTTCCGACTGGCACAGCGGATCCACGGGCCCAACATACCAACGGCACGACACCACGAGGAACAACCGCCCACCATGTCGGGTCCATACCCCAGCACACCCCGACGAACAGGTGCATGGACTGCACCTACTCCGCCGTCAAACTGTAAGTTCTGCGGCGCTCGTCACTGGCACAGCGAATGCCGGCATAGGCCAGCCCCAACACCACACGCAAACGCAAGGGCAGTGCAAATAGCCCAAAATCTACACACGAGTGCACGGACAGTGCAAACGGTCCCAACACAGCAGCACGCCCAGCGTCCTATGCCCCCACCCCCACGCCGAAGACGCACAAGCCGCGGAGGCCTTTCGGAAATGAGGTAAGAAGACCTCAACCCTTTATCGTCGCCCAGTTGACGATGAACCTTTTTCTCACCTCTGAACTGCCCTCTCCATTCCTAATTGATACAGGCGCAAGTTTGAATATAGTGCCCCATAATCTGTATAAAATGTTAAAAACTAATCTTCCTAATTTAAAATTAAAAAAGCAGTCTATAGACCTACAGGCTATAAATGGTTTGGTAAAAACAATAGGTAAACTGACCCTCCCCCCCCTCTGACAATAGGTAAAATTACTAGAAAAGAGAATTTCCATGTGGTGGAAGCACCTCTACCATTTGGAATTCTCAGCATAAATACCCTCCGTAATTTTAAATTAACAATAGACTTCAACCAAAGCACTATATTCCAACTTGGCGCTCCATTGTCTACCCCTACTTACCATTTCCACCATGTACCCAATGAATGCACGTATTGGGAATGCCAAGCGATGTCACAAAGGACTTGTCATGCACCCAAACCTTCCGCACATGGCACCCACTGCGTGCATCCATTGGTCAAAACCCGATCACCCACATGCCAATCTAGTCACGCGCGCGCACTACACAATTTTTTCACAAAGGCAATTGCCTTTTTTATATGCCCTCAAATAACAAGGCCACAACGGCTTCAACTTGCAACAACAATGCACAAAACATGTCCATACAGCAGGACAGCTCGCGCACCGAGCACATAAGTGACCGCACGTCGTCACACAATGGTCACACGTACAACCCGCGCAACAAACGCAACACTCACACTAAAACACAACAATTTTCTTCCCCATACACATGCTACAATACGATACACAACCCTCACTATCCACCTCACTTCACCACACTTTTACAGAGATACAACCACATTTTTACCCAAAACAAATTCAGCGTACAATGCTTAAAAATCCCACAAGTAAAAATACCCACGAACTCCAACAAAATAATTACCATACGTCCATATCGTGTTCCGATATGTGACCAACAGGAAATCCGCAACCAGGTCCAACAGATACTGGAAAATGGCATTATCGAGCAGTCTTTTTCACCTTTCTCTAGCCCGGTCACTCTCGTCACCAAGCGCGACAAGACCAAAAGGTTTTGTATTGACTATAGAAAGGTGTGAACGAGCTAATCAGCTCTGATGTCCATCCCCTCCCTAGGATCGAGGATATACTCGACCGTCTCGCACGGGCCAAGTATTTCTCCACGGCCGACATATCCTCCGCGTATTGGCAGGTCCCAATACACCCCGATTCTCGACCACTGTTGGCCTTTTCCACGCTCGAAGGGTTATATCAGCCCACTCGATTGCCTTTCGGGTTAAAAACCAGCCCTCAGATCTACGAAAGAGCCATGAGTCAGGTCCTACAGAGACACGGACTTGACTGTGTGGCAAATTATTTTGATGACTTCATCATTTTCTCCAACACACTGGAGGAATATCAAAACCACCTGCGACAATTTTTCGCCTTTTGCGAGGTAGAGAAGTTACAACTTAACTTCGCAAAATGCGAATTTTTTAAACAGTCCATCAATTTCCTAGGCTACACCATCACAGCTGGTACTACCACACCACTCACACGCAACACAGACATCATCCACGCCATCCAACAACCACACAACCGCAAAACACTACAATCCTTTCTAGGCGCTGTGAACGTCTATAACAAATTCATCCCGGAGTACGCCCACTTGCGGACACTACTTAACAACCTTCTCAAAAAGGATGTCATGTGGGTCTGGGATGAAAATTGCCAAAAGGCGTTCATTAGCCTGAAAGAGAGCCTCACACAACACCCCATCTTACACCTTTACAAAGAGGGCCTGCCATGCCAGGTGTATTGTGACGCCTCCACCCTCGGTATAGCAGGCATCCTCAAACAGGTTCACCCAGATGGGAAATTATATCCAGTCCAGTTTTTCAGCCGCACTCTGCGTTCACACGAACGAAACTATTCCATCTCTGAACTTGAGTGCTTAGCAATCGTTGAGAGTGTGGAGAAGTTTCGCACCTATCTGATGGGAAGAAAGTTTACTATATTTTCTGACCATCACGCATTGCAGTGGCTGAAAACAATCAAAAACCCGTCAGGCAGATTGTTTCGGTGGAGTTTACGACTGTCGAGTTACGAGTATGAGGTCCTCTACATAAAGGGAAAACAGCAATATGAGGCGGATCTCTTATCCCGTAACCCGTTCTGTGGATTCTTAGACGCCTCCCTTATTAAGAACCATCAGCCTTCTCCATCGGGAGATTCTAGCCTGACCATTGATCACAATGGACTGCATACCGTTTCCCGAAAAGGTGTAACTAAAATTATAATTCCAAAAACACTCATCCACCAACTACTACAAACAGTACACACACAATACAACCACCCAGGTATATCACAAATGACAAGAACCATCTCCGCTCAGTATTACTGGCAGGGCATGTCAAAAGACATTACACAAAAGGTTGAAACCTGCCCAACCTGCCAGTTAACAAAACGTCCATTGGGACCCACTTACGGGGAATTAGGTCAGCCACCGGAAGCCAAAGGACCTTTTGACCTACTCTCCCTCGACACCATAGCAGGATTTGCCAAATATGGCAACACCAAGATATACCTCCATGTTGTAGTCGACCATTTTTTCGCGCTACATATGGACGTTCCCATCCAAATCCACCAGCATTACCACCTATCAACAGGTACTCAAGCGAGTATTACACGATGGCTCTCCGAAACGCCTTCTTACGGATAGAGCCCCTGCATTCACTTCGCCAAAATTTAGTAGCCCTCCTGCTTAACAGGAGTATCCACCCGTTACTCACAACTAGCAACAATCCACAAGCCAACGGTCTATGTGACCGCCTAAACGCCACCCTCACGGGAAAACTTAGGCTATTACATTTGGAGAATCCTAAGGTCGCATGGACCAAGTTGGTCAAACGAGTTACA